CAAAGAGGTCTTTCGGGTTTAGTAAACGCCCGAGTCTCCACCCTCTCACACAAGCACGATCAGCTGATTGCGACGGCGTAACTCGCGCGATGCAGAGTTCAGTACTTCACACAATCTCAATCAATAGGCATGTGTCAGAATACTAGGCGCTCACCACCGACTTGCATTTTCCGCTTCTGATTGGTGAGTAGAAAGCCGACGCGCACTCTCTCAGGTGCCTTAAAATGGACGCCATGTCAGGTTATGCCATTATCCTCCCTCATGTGTACAAACCCAAGAGCTCTAGTGCCTCAGACAGCCGTGCAGAGACGTCACATCGCATTCGGTGTGATTCTTCTCTTCTTTAGCATTGCTCTCATGATCTCTGAGGCCAAGCGACCTAGCTCCGCTTACACGGGTTACTGGGTCGGTGTGGCAAGTCTCTTTCCGGCCGCCGGAGCCATCGTACTGGGGTTAAAACCAAATCGCTACGTCCTAATTACGACCTGTGTGATGGATTTTGTCGCTGCCCTGACTTGCGTCTCAGGAGCAATTCTGTCGTTGGTTTTTTTCAGCATTCAAGTCTACGCCGTTGGATGGCTCTCCGTCATTCTGACCACATTCCTACTATATCATGCCTTCGCGATATTTGGCGAATTGGATATTTGTTGTCGACTGGCCATGTTCGAGTTGCCAGAGGAAGCGCCAGAGGAAGCACGTAGGCGGCATCATGGCGAAAACATCCCTGCACCGCCAATCGACTTTATTATGCCCAACGAGGTGAGGAAACCCCCAAATTATGATCAACTCTCAGTGCGCGGCGATCCACCGCTGTATGAAACACTGACACCGCCACCACCATCGCCAGCAGCCCCAGTGCCTGTACATCAAAATTCGCAGGGTGGCGTAGAAGATCGCCGAAGAAGCCACCATCCCCGGCGTTCTCGTCATCCTCCGACGTCGTCGTCCGAATCGCGCGTAGCACCAGTTCCGGAGGAGACGGAGGAAGAGACGCCAAGAATTTAAGCTCAGCACTAACCCTCCCCTCTCCCTATAAAACCAAGGTCTTCCGCATTTATGAACGACTGCCCTCATTCACTGAGCTCGAAAGTTCGAAGTTGAATTTACGACTGTGGATTCTCTGAGAAGTGATCTAAGATTACATCAGAGAGCTCCGGGGATAGCAGGACGAATTGTCGCCAGATGTCATTCAATGAGTGGAATAATTGAGTTTTCTGTCTTATGTATTACAACTTATGTGTGAAAGTATCTGAAACGATCAATATAGGTTTAAACAAAGTACATATTAATAACATTAAAGTGTTCCATGATGTGTCTTAGAACGTCATTGAGGAGTCAAGATGCTAAAGCTGAAAACTTTGCATTTGTATTGCGCAGTTACATGCAGTACGTGGACTAACTCACGAAATATCAACCAGAATTCCGAAATGCGTTTCCGTTCCGAAAAGATTAATTAATTAGGAGTGTAAAACTAATCATTATGTAGCAATATTCTATAAACATTTACTCACCTCAGGATGCCGGCTTTCAGAGGAACATCTTTCCGGCCGC